CATTTGTCCATTTCTGTTTGTTGTCATGTCTGACGGGTATGAGTTTCTCTCTGCTGTATTACACAGGGCTTGCTAACGGACACTCCCACGGTAGCCCAAAGAGTAACTAGACATGTGTTTGGACAGGGTGTAGCTGGAATGCTCTTTGGAGGCAAAGCACTTACCCCAGGAAGAGGTGCATCTATCTCCTCACAGGAGGTACACAGCTGGAGACCCCTTGACAGCTGGAGGCCCCCCCCCTGGTTGGGTGGCCCGGTCGCTGTGTCCAGAGCCCATGTGCTGTTACTCAGTGCAGGTGCTGGGACAGGCTCTGTTAGTTGTGAGTTGTCCATGCAGCCGGTTCTCAGCCAAACACAGCCCCGTCCTGCTCCGCGTTCACAGGGGGGAGTTTGCTCCTGTCTGCAGCTGCAGCTGCCATGTGTTTGAGGGCCTTCCACCCCCAGGGCTCCTCTTTCAGCTCTGCCCAGACAGAGCTCCACTGTGATCTAAGGGCCTTCACTAACTGGGGTCTGAAAGTGGTGTGCCAGGCCTTTCTTCCTCGTCTGTCTTAGTCTGGAAGCTCCACGGAAGGCTGTCCACAGTGGATACCCCGTCTGGGTTTCTGTGTCCTCCCCTATAAAAGGGAGGTGCATAAGCTTTTGCAGACACTCCCCTCTCCCCTTCGGCCAGACTAGAGTTCAGTGCCCAGCCCCTGGCCCCTGCCTTCTGCTTCTCCCTGCATTACTCCACCAGCTGCCCAGTCCTGACCACACCTTTACCTGGTGCGGCCAGCCTCTCCCCACCCAGGCCCTGGAGGCGGAGCTTGTACTGAGGCAGCCAGCTGTCTGTATCCATGAGGCAGAGAGGGTGCCAAAGGCAGTGACCGTCCACTCATTAATTCATGTACGGAGGTAAGGAATGATGCTGGTTGCACAGAGGACTAAGCACTGGGCTTACGCCAAACTCCCAGCCCCATAGGAGAAAGACAAGGCAGTCTGTTTCTGTAAAGATTACAGCGTTGGAAACCTGGTGTGGGTTCTACCCTTCCTGCAGGGTGACTCAGAAGTAACTGATGGCAGTAAGTGTGCTCTTAGTGAGGTGCCGGGCCCCCGGGAGCAGGCAGGCCTGCCTGCGGAGGAGAGAGACTAGTTAAACGCTGTCCATCCTTTATGTGACGGCAGCCCTGCCCCCTGCACCCCCTGAGAGCAGAGAGGCCTGGCCCAGACCATGGGCTCAGGGGAGCACATCCTGAGAGCAGGATGTTGGGGCCAGGGGTCACAGGAACCTCCCTGGAGAAGAGATGGGAGAGAGTGAAGGGGCCAGAGAGAGCAGTGGGGAGCAGGTGGGACAGGCTGCCTCGGCCTGCGCTGGACCCACAAGCCTGCACGCTCCCGAGGGGAAGTCGGACAGGAAGTGCATTTGTGTTTACGCCACCGCAGTACAGTAAGCTCAGAAGGCTGGTGGGAGACACCTTGTCATTGGACTGTGCCCATTTTTCTTTCTTAAATAATCAGGGGTTTGGTTTGGTTCAGCACTTCTTGCATCCGTATTTAGAACTGATCTAGCCTCTGAGTAAATTTAGCTTTTTATCATCGTATAATTACCTTCTTTATACCTGGTAAATATTGACTCCAGCCCAGGAGAGGACACTCCCTAGAGGAGGAGAAAATGCTTGCAAAGTCCCCACCAACAAAAAAAGAGCAGACCCTCTAGGAGATGCATCAGCACCGCAGCCCCAGCAGTGACGTCAGGTGTCCAGGGCTGCAGGGTGGTGCCGGCCACGCTCCTTCACTCCTTAAGGTTGCTAAGAACCGATTCAGAACCTGAAACAGCAAACACCCGGGAGACGGTTGACCGGTAGGAGTCTACTTCCCTAGATATTAATGTAACTACCTCAGTCTTGGTCTTTATCATTTGCTTATTTCCATCTTTTGTTTTTTTAGCTCCTGTGATTTATATTTTCTGTGGATTTTTTTAAATGCAATCTAGCAATCTCTTTCACTCAGCACATTTGTCCATTTCTGTTTGTTGTCATGTCTGACGGGTATGAGTTTCTCTCTGCTGTATTACACGGGGCTTGCTAACGGACACTCCCACGGTAGCCCAAAGAATAACTAGACGTGTGTTGGAGAGGGTGCAGCCGGAGTGCTCTTTGGAAGCAAAGATGATGAGGCTTCACCTCACACGCTTTGGGCATGTTGCTAAGAGAGGCTGTTCCTTGAAGAGGGACATGATGCTGGAAAGGGTAGAGCGCCGGCAAAGGAGAGGAAGACCCTCAACCAGGTGGATTGACACAGTGACTGCTGCGATGGGTTCTTGTATGTCAGGAAGAGTGCACAGGATAGAACAGGGTTCACATACACTATTTATAGGGTCGCTATGGATCATAAATGACTCGATGGTGCCTAACAACAACTCATTTCACTTTCTAATTAAGCTTTGAAAAACTCCCTTTCCCCCCATTATGTCTATTTAGAAGTTACTTATCTTTCTTAGTTAATTATTTTTATTTGTTGTTGTGTACCATTGCGTTGGAACCAACCCATACCTGATCCTCTGGCAGGATTTCAGAGACAGTTAATCACACGAGAGGAGACTGCCCATCCTTCTCCCACAGAGCAGCTGGTGGATTTGAGCTTTGTGCCTTCGGGACTGCAGTGCAGCTTCTTGCCACTAGGGCCCCAGTGCTACTATTTCTTTTCCTCTTGCTCTTGAAATTTACCAGGAGGCAGTCATCAGAACAAAGCAAGGGAACACTGCATGGTTCAAAATTGGGAAGGGCGTACGCCAGGGATGCGTCCTGTCTCCATTTTCAACCTGTATGCAGAACAGATTATCTGGGAGGCGG